CAGCACTGAGAAATCTTCTAAGATAGCCTTCTTCAGCCTTGGTTTCGGTAACAGCTATAACGCAACACACATTGTGACATCTTTCTTTTATTATTTTACATCCGAGTCACGTTTTTACTATTTTAATAATATTATAAATTATAACAATCGATATATATTAAATAATGATTTATCAAGTCTATCTAATGTTTTAATAAAATATACCTACAAGAAAGTACAATTTAAATATTTAAATATATTGTTGTTAAATATTATTTATTATTTGAATTGCAAATAATTTTACCAAGTTCAACGTGCTTATATTCTTTTAATCACATATCTCATAAGTATCATAGCAAATTAAAAATATTGTTGTTTTTATTAAACAAAAATTTTAATTCTAATAAACGATTAGCGAGAATTCATTAAAAAAGTAATAATATATAAGTTAAGTAATATAAGAATAGAAAATAAAAAGTCGTGAAAGAGTCTATTCTAGTAAAAGCTTTTCACATTGTGATTTTACGAGAAACCATTGTGAAAGTTCTTTAAGGGAAGGTAGAAGAGAAATAGGAAGTTCAGTAGAGGGTCAAAGAAAGATATGCAGAGAAAGTTCCATGGTACACGTACAGAACAAACATATGACTACTAAGACTAATCTTTGATACGATAACATAAAGATAATGTCATTTTGGATGTGAAGCCCGTCTTAAGAAATACGTTGTTATTGAATTCACTATCAAACAGTTAAAATATATTATAATTTTTGTGCAGCTCAGTTATTCATTTAAAAGATATTTTCAGATAACTTATTGCCTGTTCTTTATGTTGTCTTTATATATAGTTTTTTATATTATCTTTCTCAGGATTATAAAAATAAGCTTCAGAAAATACGTCTTACATAATCAAATAAATTTTTACACGGATCACATACATACACAAAGAACGATTTTATTGAGATATCTAAATATTCAGCTATATATAGATACAGATTTGAAAATAATTTTGTTTGGACCATCAAAATAATTATGTAAGACGCTCAAGCTGATTACTAGAACATCAACATATTTGCAGCATTACTCTTATCATACATGAGTTTCCTACATAATTATTTTGACGAGCCAACAAAATTATTTTTAGATTTGTGTCTAACGATTTTTAGATACTTCATCAAAATCCTTTCCATGTATTTTTATATAACACTAACATAATTCTCAATTATATCATTTGCTACCATAAATATGATTTTAATTCCTCTTCCTCTGCTTCTTATACGGCAAATTAATTATTAACATCGGTGTTCAATGATCATTCATTCAACAACCGGTCGTTCATCGTGTATTAGCCAGAATGCGTAACGCGCGCCGAAACTCTTAACTCGCGGGCAGCGATTCGCACATTCTGATTCCGATTTCAGGCTGGCGCTTCGATATTTACTCGTCGTGGATGCTAACGATGCCGATGAGTTTGCGTAGACTCGCATGGCGTTTATTCACGTTAACGAGGCCCGATTAAAAGCCGTGAGATGACTCATGGGACGTGACGCGCGCGCGTGCACGTAGGTCCCAAAAGGAGGGCAGCAATATATCTCGCAGTGTATATCACGTGTTGACGCCAATAGGATGAACCGACCCCGCGTAACAATGGGCCTCCTAATTGGTACGACATTTGAAACGACATGGGCCTGTTCTTTGTTGCATGACTCTTAACGTTCATTCGATCCTCAACTGACCCATTGCGACACGTATACGGTGACTTTAGTACAGCAATTATCAGTCTTTACGATCAACAATCTTTCGTCACTGTTTCGTTAAGCTCCCAACAAATAGACGTTAACACGGAACAGTAGAAGAATTAATTTCGGGAATTTTACGATAATTTTGCATAAAATGTGCCGTGTAAATTAATATAACACATGCATCTTTTATTTTATGTAACTTGTTTTTCATTTACATGCTTGAAAGTTGCTATAAGTACTTTATTTCTCAATATGAAATATAATGAAATACAAAGCAACTGGAAACAACCTACGCTGACGACCGCTCGTCACCCTGCACGCCGGAAGTGGACACTGTCTCGTGACACGTGTCGGAAGTCGACCCACGCGAGCGCCGCGATGAAGAACAGTCGCGAGCATTTCGATAAGAATCGAGAACACCTGCGGCACGCGTCCGGACATACGAAACGCACCGCGATGCACCTATACGCGTGTACCATTTTTCTGACGGCGCGGTATCGAAAATGCAGCGTGCACCGAAGGAGAACAACGAGGATTATTTCTATACGCACGCGGGAGGTCTCGCATGACACGGGCCTAACTCTCGAAAAAACTGTTCTTTCGGCGAAAAGTGAGCTAAATGACGACTGATTGGTGGACAATGCACAACGATATAAAGACCGCATTCCATCGTTTCGAGTTCGGTTCCTTTCCCCCCATTCAGAATGCACTTGTTCATTGAAATAGTTATAACAGGCCGATACGAAGGTGAAAAAAAAAATAATGGAGAGCAGATGCGAGGTATCGATGTCCTTTATGTCTAACTGCGTGGACACCTTTCCTCACGTCGGTCGCGTGATTATGAGATACGGGGTTGTTAACCTCATTGCCGTGTCGAATTTTGTTCATTTATCTCCATATTCTTGCTATTGAATTTTATTGACTTATTTGTAGTACGCGCAACATTAGGAATAGCTCCGATCAATATAAATATAATACAGTGTTATGAAAATTTACCTAATTTCAAATCTGAAGTGTGTTTATTCATTTTATTTAATTATTAAAAATTAATTATCATAAATTAATTAATATATAAGCATATTTTTTACATTATTAATCTTTTTCATTAGAATTAAAAGTGGATTATATGTATTTAATGATATTCCTCTCAAGCGAAAGGAGTTAATAACTTGCGCAGAATTTCAATTTAATTCTCGGAGAATCTCATAATCCTCGTAAAAGATTACGAAATTAATCCTGGGAAAAATCAGAATCACACGTAAGGCCAGCGACGGAATGGATCGGAAAACCGTTTCCTTCCTGTCGAGACCCTCAATCGAAAGCGACGCACGTCGAACCGTGTGATTGTCCGATCACTAATTGATTAGTTAGGACAGTCGTCGAACATATGTTGGTCATCTTTACGATTTTACGAATTCGCCCCGCCACCCTTAATCCGATAGGGGTCCGAACAGAAGAGGCCCGAGTGTGGCCCACGCCTACCGTTGTATATTACGCAACGTGTAATTTGCGGACAAAAGAGCACGTTGCTGTCGATGCTTACGATATACCCGCTCATTGTTGCGTCACACAATGCAGCAGCTCTTTACGAGAACCCAGTGTATGCTAGGTGAAATATTTATCGCCATTGGGGGTTGCTATTCTATGAGCCGACGGCATTAGGCGGACGCGAGAAATTATAGTAGCTAATTACTTACTGACAAGTCGGACGCCAAACGCGAGCTGCATTCACGGGCGTGTAGCACAAACAGAAATCGGAGCGTGAACTGCAATGATTACATTGGAAACAATTAGTATAAAGCTCTCTGGAATAATTAAGAATAATAATCTAAAAAATGACACTTATCGCAATTATAACATCTGTAAGAATACAATTATGCATACGGAAAGAATGATTCTATTATAGTATTCTACTATTTAAAAATGTAGATTGTAGATTTAAAAATGTAGAACATATAGAACTGAAAATAATGTTGGACTATTAAAATAAATATGTGTAGGAAACTCAAACATGAGCAATGCTGCAAAAAATTTTTGTTATTTTATCAATTTAAGCGTCCTATAATTATTTTTTGGCAGTTCAACATAATGTATTTTCAGATCTACATCTAACTAAATTTTTTAATATTTCAGCAAACGTTCTTTTCGCATGACATTACATTTTTAGTGTATTAGTAAATAACAAAGAAAGAAAATTATTTATGCACATTATTGCACGGAAAAGATAATTTTCTAAAGTTTCTAAAAATTTAACCAAATATATAGAATATCTAAAAATATTTTATTGAACCATCAATATAATTATGTAGGACATTTAAACTGATGACTATAAAAACTGCTTGTAGGATCGTTTATCATGTTTGAGATTCTCACGTAATTATTTTAATAATCCAAAAAAATTATTTTCAGATCGGTATCCAGTTAAATTTTTCGATACTTCAAAATTGTTCCTTCCTGTAAATTTTTTTATCTCAGACATTATCATAACGAAAAATCAAAAGAAACCGGATGTTGATAGAAAATCTTCTCGGCCTTTCGCGAATGATCGAAATGTTAAATACAATTAACGGGAAATCATCTATCTCGATACTTTTGAGATCGACAAATCTGTTCCCATGAAATTAATCTTCCGCCGACCGAGATCGCGATCCTGTTAAACGAAACTGCTTCAAACGATGCGACTAATCCAAGATCCCGGATCCTCGTAATCTTGTGGGATGATCCGAGAAGGAACTGCACCCGCGTACCGCGAGGATCTTTGAAGCTATGGTGGATCGATTTGTCCGTCGATTAGCCATGGCCAGTGCATTGGACCGGCTTGAAAAGACGTAAACTGGCCAGAGTTCCTCGGCAAGATTCTCGGGGTTGTTCACACCGACGCACGTCTTCAATCTGGTTACTTTCGCAATGCATTACTGAATTCACCAAAGAATTCAAAGTCAGCATGACTAATTGCGTGGGACTAAAAGCTATTTCATAATGCAGGTATTATCGCAAATACATCATTGTATTTCACCTGAATTTTTTTCATTTGTCTTCATTCTTCTTTTTATCTTCCAAGTATTAATATAAAGAATAATTCAAAACTAGAGACAATAAAAGTAACATAATAACAATTTTTTTAACAAAAGCTTAGTAAAACATAAACAAAAAGAGAATTTATTTATATTACGACAAATTATTTTTCATGGTTTACGATGCGTGTAAATGTACTCACAAATACATAGCATTAACAATAAAAATTGTATATAAAATTATATTATATAGTATATGAACATATTTAACGCGATTGTATCAATTTATTTTTATGATAGCCAATTTCGTATTTATCTAAACGAATATTGAATATTCGTAATTTAATAAAAATTATAAATGAAGAGATCTATTCTGATTTAGAAATGTTTGACCTTCGGTATAGGCTCCTCGATAAGGAGTCGTCTTTTCGGTGACCACGAAGGCGGTCTGGGCAATTTAGGTTGTGGTACCGGGTTTGATTGTTTACGATCTCTACTTCTTCCACGATTCGAAGATCGTCTTCGTTGCTGTCGCCGTTCTTTAGTTACATTCGATTTGCCAGTTGTTTTCTTCTTACTGTTCCTCTTCTTCTTTTTCGTATTCATATTCTTTCTAGTAGTTGCTGATAGTAAATTGCGTCTTGAATTTGTAGTTTGATAAAAGTCAGGATTAAACCTGCCAAAATACTGTACATATATACGTGCTATATATTTATAAAATACTGAAGAGAGATACTGAAGAGAGATAATTGCTGGATTCTTCGAAATTATAAACTTTTGTATAGATGTTAAGATATTTGTTGCACAAAAAAGATGGTATCTATTTATAATTTATATAATAGTTTTAAAATTTTATTTTTAATTTTACTTTTAATTTTGCAAAGATACTTTATACATTATTATCCTACAAAGTATTATTTTTATATGATTTCTAATTATATTTTTTTTAATCATAATAGTACGATATTTTTTGCAACATTATTGGAATTTATAGCTTACTAAAATAAATAATAACTAGGGAAGATTTATCGAGAAGGAAGATGTTCTCTCTCTCTCTCTCTCTCTCTCTCTCTCTCTCTCTCTCTCTCTCTCTCTCTCTCCCTCTCTCCTCCCCCCCCTCTCCTCTCTCTCTTTTGCAGAAGCAGTTATATAAATTTCGCTCGGAGATTTTTCTGGAGAACCTTAAGTTATTTACTAAAAGAGCTTTCCGAGGAAAAGGCACCTGAATTTGTTTCTCTTCTTAGCGAGTATACCGAAGTCCAGACCACGACGTAAAGCGACGGTGATGTCTCTCCGAAGAGCCTTACCGACCGCTATGTCATATTTGTCGCTGATGTGCGTCAGTATCTCCTTCTTAGAAAAGCCATCGGGTGGCTGCTCGGTACGAAGCAGATCGTAAACCAACGCAGATCGACGCACCATTCTTGTTAAAGTGTGATTTATTACGAGAATATTCGTTATAACCGGACATAACCTACCGATTCATAATACCAATCTCGAAGAATGTAAAATGCCAAAATTCACTGAAGTTTGATGCATCTATTACGAATGACAAGCTTCGTTGCATAAATACATATTTATACAATAAAATATTTGAAATTACAAATAATGTTTAATTTCTTCCAAGAGATTTTTTTTTCATCTTATACTGTTCTATATACGTATATAGTATCCCGTTTGATCTCTTATATTCCGTACAGAATTAAAAAATCTTACGTTATATATGTAAATGTTACACGTTATTGGCGGTAATTATCATTGATTATCATTTTCTATGTAATATGCAAGAGATGAAAGCATGTACTGATTTGTATACTCTTGCTGGCGAGCTTTTATATATAAATCGATATTTCTCTTCGCCCAAGCGCAGAGCGCTCATCCCCAATACGCACACGCATGTTTTATATAAAAAAATATATATAGGTACATATATGTGTATCTATATATAATATATATTTGCACATATGTATATATATGTACACATACTTCAGAGCTCTGTTCCGATACTTGGAGCAGCCCGCTGTTTGCCGAGAGGGATGCAGAGAGTTTAGAAGGAGCTCGAGCTTGGATGGCTGGGCAACTCGGGGGATGGTTCTAGCAAAGAGGGGGATGAGGCTTAAGTCAGAGTGAGAAGGGAAAGACACGAGGGAAGAGAGGGATGAAAACGAAGAGAAATCTTGGTGTCTAGAAAGAGGGAATCCGCCAGGATGGCCGGCGATTCTGATTTCCGTCGGGAGTTTCGCCCTATCAAGGCAGAGTAACCGAAGTGAAGCCGTCTTTAATCATTCGATTGCTGACGCTCCGGATCCTCTTCCTGCCATGATGGCAATGCCGATATCCAGGATGCGGCGGGAATTCGACGCGCGCTCTGGTTGTTTGCTTATCATTTTGGCGATTGGACGTCTCGAAAAACAAACGGATTAATTCCCGGCGTTTTGCCGTGAAAGCAGAGATCTCTCGTTATTAGTGAGCAATTATAGTGTTCGCGATTTCTGTAAAATGTTCAAAATTGATCGAATATACTTCGAATTACAGATTTTATGAGGAAACTTATAGTAATGACTTTTTTTAGTTTTTAAATAACAGATCATTAGTACATACGATTATGTATAATATAAATTGCAAGTTTTCTTAAACACAACTAAGATGTACCTAATATAAAGTATACTTCTAATCTCAAATAATTACAAGGGATAAAAATATTTTTCTACGCAAATCGATGTGCCAAAAGTCACTGTTTCCAATTTCGTTCTTTCGTTTTGCCAACTAAATGTTACATAGTAGCATTGAGAGCAAAAGAAAACGATGACCTTATTGTATTAGCAGAGCTAGTAAAATATATTTGCGCAGATTGTTAAATATTAGGTCTAAATTACTACTTTCCGTCCCGTTGAGTAGCCCGTGAAGTTTTCTGCATGGAACTGGAAGATCGAGGATTTCTCTCAATTTTTCCGAGAAGTTCTTTCCAAGAAAATTGGTGCGGAAACATCGACTCCTTTAAAAGGGTACTATAACTACACTCTATTTTCATAATTATGAACGTTGGCAGTGTCAAGTGAAGTAACTTGAATTTTTTACAGCAGGTAAAAATGCTGTAGAGAATATAAAATAAAATATAAATGTTCAGTTAAATTGTAATTTTCATATTTATACATCCATGCCTATAACACAGTACGACAAAAATCATTTTTTTTCCTCCCATGAAAAAATCAAAGAGATTGTGAAAGTAGACGTAAAAAAAAAATACCCGTGTCTCGGCGTTTTACCAGATCAAATCATTAAAATTATATAATTTTTAAAAATAAATAACTTTTATACATATTATTTTATACAAAAATTTGAAAATATATGAAAAAAAAAATTCTTAGTTTTTTTTTTCGTATTCGGACTCATCGCACAATTTTACATGCAAAACTTCAATTATTTATTTGAAAAAATTATTATATAATTTAAAACAATTGTAAAAAGCTAATATGAAACAAATATGATAAATGGCTGCATAAAAAACGTTAACGACTTGATCTGATAAAACGCCGAAACACGGGTATTTTTTTTTTCATCTAGTTTCAGAATCTCTTTGATTTTTTCATGGGAAGGAATGTGTGTTGTACTGTGTAATATTGCTATATTTTATAATTTTTAATTTCTCTATCTTAAAAACTATTGTCCAAAAAAAAAATGTAATTATTATCTATTATTAAAACTACAAAGAAATATGAATAACATTTGCGTAAAGGCTCAGTTACAAAGATAAATGTAATAAATTAATAATACAAATGTAAGTATTTTATCCTGAAAGTGTTGCATACACCAATAATTAGTGCGTTTCACAATCCCATGCAAAAAACTATCATAGGTCGAATAAAAATGCGACAACAATATTCGAGGAGCACCGCAATCCTTAAATGAACGGTTGGCTTCAAAACCCCGACGATTTGTCTTCCCTTTTCTTCTTCGCGGAGGGTGGGCGCCCTGGTTTCCCGGGTTCTTCCGTGCCTTTTTCCAATTGTGCCGCCCCCGTACCGTGCGCTCGAGTCCTCCAAGTCGCGGCAAGTGGATTATTGACGGCACGAAACAATGGCGCAGCTTTGTTCGGTACGCTCCCGCAAGTAATATGTGTTCGACGCACAGTGCACGTCTGTCCATCCGTCAGTTTTGTGCGTCACAAGTGGCACCAACCATAAACCGAACGAGTGGCCCTTCGTATCGGATCGAGTCAAGCACCGTACGATACATCTGGCTGTCTGATCGGTGTTTATTAAAAATCATACGGAACTATAATCGCACATCCGATCTGCTGCATTTAAATACGACCATCAATGTCGTGATTTTAATGTAGACTTGACGTCAAGAAGATCGTAAATACGCCGCATACACACACAATTATATGCTATTATTTTTATCAATAATATATTTTTATCAATAATAATTAATGTCAGTATTAACAACATTAAATTGTAGATCTCAATTAGAAATGCAAAAAAGAAATATGAAGAATTAAAAGAAAAATTGAAATATAATACAGAAATGTTATATAGAAACGGTACTGTATGATAATCATATTTTATTCAAAAATGTGACTTTTGGCTTTGCAGCAAAAAAATTGTTTTTGCTAAAAAGATTTAGACTACATGAAGAGACATAAAGAAGATACAGACTATAAATGATTAAGAAGCGAACTCACCTAAAGCAAATGACGGTGGATGTACATATGAGAATTCCCTTAACAATCATAATACAAAAAGACAGATATACGTACGTAAATATGAAATGGTACAAAAGTTGATCACAAAATTCAGAATCCCTTCCTGAAAAACCAGCTGGATTATATAATTACTGAGTCACCGTTTAGAGGTTGAAACTCGTGAGCTAAAGAAGAAGAAAAAAGAAGAAAATTTGGGATATATAAATCACAAACGAAATAAGTATATCACTTCACTTTGGTAGAGCAATCCGTCAAAAGAGCTGGAAGTTTAGCAAGGAATGCCGCTTCATTCCGGAGGATGGAAGGAATAAGCTTTCTCTGCGACAATTTTATTGGTCTTTCTTGAAAGAGGCAGCAACAGCAGAAGCCGGTTACTCCCCAGAAGATGGGACAGTACAAAGCGAAACGGGAGGCGGGATGAATTAATTCTCTGACAACCCCTTCCCGAGTTTTAATTCCGATATGACAAATTCAGTCTTCAAAATAACCGCGAGGCGATATTACACGATTTCGTCTTTTGCTTGAAATATTTTTCACGTATTGGAAGAAAGAGACTTTTTCTTTATCAAAAACGTTGAAAATATTTAAAAAATTCCTTTTTTATAAATTTAATTGTTAACAAATGAATAACAAAAACTTATTCCTTAATTCGTTATAAATAATGAAATGGAAAAAATTTCAACTTTAAACTTAATGAAAAAATCGAAACATTGGATATTAAAAAGAGAATTGTAAGAAGAAATGTTCTCTAAAGAAAATTTTGTTAAACAAAAATGGATTCCAAATTGATCGAAGAATTCCGTACAAAATTCGTGTAAATTTTGATTCACCCTGCATAACGCTGAAGAATTAATATTAGATATGTACACAGTGTATTACACAACCTGGTTCTTTACTAAATTACAACGTGCGCGGAAATTGTGCGGCGTGTTTGCCGGAAGGGAAGGCGAATCGCAAGAAGTGCGCTCGCTCGTGAAGGAGAAATCTCTGTGACGATAAGGAGCCATGTGCCGCTGGGAATGCCGGGGTTTAGCCATGGTGAATTTTGCCATGGAGGTCGTGATCCAACGTGCAAACAACCCTATGGGCAGAGATTTCGATTTGGTATCCGTTGATGTCGACTATCGCAAAGCGCCCCCGAGGCGCAAAAGCATTGCTCACCATTGAAATAAAGTCTCGAGGTATGCTCAAAACAACATGCCGCGGTTACTTTCATAACGGTGTTTTGGCTATAGTTCATGTTTTTTCGCGAAAATTATTATATATCTTTCTAAAACGGTTACATAACAACAAATATCATCCTGCAGCCAGTATTAACAGTTCATTCAATGTTTTTATTTTTTAAATAAAAATATTTTTATTTTTAAAATATAAATATTAATAATTATACTGCTATACATTTTATAAAGAAGTTTAAATATCAAGTTGCAATTTTTTAACAAAAGAAAAAATCAATATTCACGAGTTGAATTCGTAAAAGTTGATTTTTTCTTTTGTTAAAAAATAAAATAACATAATATAATAATGACAAGCATTAATGTAAACTTGTATAGCGTAATAATAAATATTATTGTAACACTGCATTTTCTACTACTGCAATTCATAAATTTCAACTAATATATCCGACGATCTAATTAACTAACTTCGTATACCTTCAACACGGTATGATTTTATCTCCACTTTAACCCAGCAAAGTCTGCGAAACGCATCTCTTAGCGACCGCGTAACCAGTAACACAAGGAAGAAGTAAAACACCGTCTTATGTCGGTGCAAGGAAGTGACGCAGACGAATTTCGAATTAACGTGCTGGATGTTTGA